TTTTTGTTTTTTTAATTATTTAGAATGCATATTTTTTATATGACTTGGATTTTCCTTTTCTTTAAACGAAAAAGGCAAAATGGATAACTACGTCCCAGACTAATCTGAACAGCTCAAAACACATATATCCTCTCCATTCCCCCTTTCTCTCTCTTTTAGGAAGTTCTAGAGACCCTGCATATGTTTCACAGCTTACTAATGCCTCACCCTGTTCCTACGGAACGACAAGCTGTCACTTGTCGGCTAAACAACGCAAAGTGAAAATGATGTTAAGATAAACAAATTCAGAGAAAATGGTGGTCAGCGGTGAAAAACTGGACAATTTTTGTTCTACGGGTGACCGCTTTTGAGAGCATTGTCCTTGATAGGTAACGAGGAAGTTGCTTCAGCTTATCGTGCCAAACTTCCGGCTGTCTTGAAAGTTTTGCTAACTTCCTAATCTTACAAGTTTTACCCGTACAGGTACTGAATCCATCCATTAGAAACAGGACCTCTTAAGTGATGACACTCCTTAAAAGAAACCTACGCGAATCAAAATACACGAAAGTTTAGAAAATGAAAGTAAATATTTTTCTGACCTTTCCCAACGAAACCCGGCTTTTATGACACAAACATAAATATCGCAAGTGTGTATAAAAAAAAAAAAAAAAGACGCGTGTGTTGATAGGGATATACATACACGATAAACGCCAGAAGGAAGACGTAAATGTTCCTGTCATCATAATCATCATTATTTCTCATCGCCCCCAGTGGGGCATAGGGTGCAATGTGTTCCTGTGTTTCCCCGTAAATATTTTCATTATCTCATTGTCAGCGGTTAGACGTCATTGGCAGATAATACTAAAAGCTTCAACTCAGCAGAAATTGATACAATGAGCGGAAGGGCTATTATATGGGAATTATATCAGTTAACTCGACCTCCGCTTTGCGTAAGGTATAGAGAAACGAATGATCATTCAAACGATGATTTCGGTTTTCTGGATCGCGTGGATTTTGACGGCAGCTTTAATGGGTAAGTCTCTAGGCAGGACATGATTATTTAACGATATTTGCTGGCTACTCCGACCGATCGATAGAAAATATATGCTCGCGTGGTTGTAGTATATAGAATCTATCTTGGCAGAACTAAGACTTCCGACAACGCTTTTAACCGGTTGTGGCGATTGGAGTAGGAGGTTAATGTCAATTTGTGCAATGCGACTTAGCAAGCAAGTTGCCCTCACATGTTGTACCTCTCTTGTCCGCGCGTTATCATCTTCCAGTATCTTCTCCCAGGAACTTTGTATAAAACGTGACCACCCGATCGTCAAGAATCCATGCTTTGACTTATATACTGAGTACAGTTAATAATTGTTACTCAGTAGTGTATCGAAGCGTAGCAGGAACACACGAATTGATCGTCCAGAAATGCAGGATGATAAGCTTAAATATCTCCAGTCACTGACCTTTTGGTTCCAGATGATAAATTATTTACAATGACCCAAAATCTGTGCGTCATTTGCATGTTACCGAGACATCTTGTGACAAGTTCAATTCGCTTAAGGCCTGACCGCAGTCATACTGAATGTTTTTTAAAGCTAGGCATTTTTCTAAACTCTTTCCAATGATTTACAAAATAACGTTATGTCGATCATATTAATGCGAGCATAGTTTGTTTCTGTTTTTACGTATATGGCAAAGTTTAGATTTCATGCTGTGAGTTAGAGAAAGAAAACTGAACTATCTATATCGGTATGAAAGTTATGACTTCCCTTTCCGTTTTTAGTTTCGGTCTGTTACATACAAAGGAACAAAATTCGACAAGAATCTTAGGTCAGTTTAAGACAACAATTAAAAACTGCATCAGAATGGAGGGACTATTTACAAAGAACTGATGTGATCAACCATCCTCTTTGCATTTGACTGATCAGTTTCACTGATAAAAAACTTATTCTAAGATGTCTAAAATGTTGTTGTTGTTCAGCCTTCAAACTGCCTTCTCGTCTTTCTGTTGCCTCCTCCCATGTCATATTGAGATGTACTGACCCTGAGACACTGACATGATCGTATGGTCAGATTGAAATATCTGCTGATCTAATTGTTTTTAGCAAAATCCATTAGCGTGCACGAGACTTAATCGATAAGTCACGCGATAAACAAGTCACGCGACCTTGGCTGTCATGTTGGATTCTGGATAACGCAAGACCTTTTTATTGTGATGTAATCGGTTAAAACTTCCTAAACTTACTAAAATCCTTAACACATATTTGACCAACCAGTCTGACAAAAAAAAAATTAAATGCCGTTGATAAAAATAATAATAGCGTGAACCAAGAGAGGATGATCTTGTACATGTTGTAGATGCTCCCAGCCTGTAACTCAGGTTAAACGGTTTTGCTCTCTCCTTCAAAAATCAGCATTGACTCTCTTTTCTTTTTTGCCCTTTTCATTTTACCGCAAAAAAGGTCATCATTAGCATTGAGGTAGTACTCCTTATGAAAGAAAATACTGATTTATAACTCTTTTTCAGAGATTACAAAAACAACATCGACAGACACAACAATACAAGCGTGTATCAATGGAGTGTTAACGTTAAGTTGCAAGGCTGTTAAAAACACGGATACGAATCATGAAGTTGAGTGGAAAATACAGTTTCCTGGCACTGGATGGAAGAAGTTCTTTTACTGTAGGCACAAGTCCGACGTGCGCTGTGGTGTACGGAAGTCAACGTTACCACTAGGGTTCAAAGCACTGAGCAATCCCGACGGCAACGCGACCTTAGTGCGCTCAGAAAGGAATGCCGCGTATGACCACGCCTGGATATTGTGTCAAGTTCACAGCCTCTCCGACCACTCTAAAGTATCTAATCATCTCTACAATGTCAGCTTTACCACACGGTGTAAGTTTAGTCAGCTTGTCGGCTTACTTGTCATCGATCACATTGACGTGCTAGTATGAGAGAGAAATCTTATTGTGACACTAATTAAAGAAAGAGGAATAGAGGCTCTTGATGAACGACAGAATGACCGTGGGGGAAGAGACTCTAACGTAAGACGGAGGAATAGGATGGGTGCCTGGTACCATATTTTAAGACATAGAAATAGCGGGGCTTGGGAAGGCGGGCTGGGGGGGGGG